CATGGGTCGACGCACTAACCACTACACCACTGGTGCCGAGATGCTAACGGTCTAATCTAATTCAATGATCTATGCTAAGCTAAGCTGAAAGTGTTCCTGCCAGACCCAGAAATCAGCATAACCAATAAAAAAATTATTTAACTTTTTATTCCTTTAAGTTAAGTGAATTTACCCATTCCAAGATACAGTTTTTTTTTTTTTAAAGTAAAGTCAACATTTCACATTTAAAGCAATGTATTTACTCACATTTTTTCAGTAAAATAACTAATCACTTTTTAAAGTCTACAACTTTGTAATTTTTTACCCAGATCTTTTAACTTTCAAAAATAAAAAATACATTTAAAATTTTAATTTGACAGCCCAGGCATCGTCGTTCACTTCGCAGATTATGGTGAGGAGTGTAAAAATGTGTTTTTCTCCTTGTGTCAGCTGTACTGTATGTGGTATGTAAGGATTAAGAGGGGACAGGTGTAGCGTGAGGGGAAACAGGTGTGATCGCCCCTAGTGTTTCTGTGCCAGAGCGGGGCAGCTGTGTTAACATGCTCGCCTTACGTTACAACACTTGTAAATGCTCGATATGTGCATGTCGCTTTACACATGGTTAAAGAGACTCACCTTTAGATACTGCAGACGAGCTTCCAGTTCTGCTTTTCTTATAGAGTCGCTGTAGACGGTTTCTAGCCTAAACACAGGAACAAAAGCAACACAGTGATGCATGTCAAAAGTCATTTACTTTGTTGTGAGAGTAAAAGATTAGATGTCTGATTATGATATGACTGCATCTAGATAAAGTTAAATAAGCGAGTTTATATATACCAAAAGTATATTAAATGCAAGAAATGTGTCTACTTACTGTTTTAAATAAAAAATAAAATAAATATGGGTAAAAATATAAGTAAAATATTTATGTAAAAATGTTTGTTGTTTTATTTATACATTTAAATACATTTACATTTGTAAATAAACCTATTAACTAATAAACCTATTGGTTTTAAGGAAAAACTTTTTAAAAATAAATGAAAATGTAACTATAATAATAATAATAATAAAATGTATAAATGTAAATAAACCTATAAACTAATAAACCTATTGGTTTTAAAGAAGGTTTTTTAACTATAAAAATATTATTCTTTAATTGATAAATTAATAAATAATTATTAATAAATGAATTAGTATTTTGCAGCTGCAACTATAATAATAATGTTAATTATTTATCCAATTATTTATTTTGTGCTGAATAAGCCTCTCACTAATGTTACTAATTATGCTATTATTTATTAAATTAATGACATTTTACTTTTTGTTTTCTGTAAATCAAGGTAAAAAAGCATCATATATATATTATGTTCATCATTATACTGTATATTATGCTACGAAAAGAGCTCACAAACCTTCAGAATTTTTTTTTTGGCTTTACAAAACTTTATCTTTAAGTATTTTCACACTACAATCTACTAAAAACAGCAATTAAAGGCCCTTCAAACCACAACAAATCTGAATCGGAGCTAGGCGGTAACCCAAAACTCCCCTTCCCCCAAATGTATATGATTTCATTGGTGACGTGAATATGAAGCGGGAGCCTCTTTTTAACGGGCTCCTGTAAACATTCTCATTTACAGCAGGACCCCTGTTTAAAAGTGGAAATAATTGGGTTAAAAGCCATGGAGGGCCTTCATGTGGTTCGCATCTTCGCTTTCCACACTTTATAAATGGAGGTTCATTTTCACGGGCCTTTTATCTTTTATTGAACAGGAAATAAAAAGGGGGAAGGAAAGTGTGCTTCCAATCAAGCAATAGCAGATCTTATTCTTTAAGCTAATCAGAAAAGAAACCACTGGTACACTGGAACTATTTAGATTTCATTTCAGCTCCTTTATTGGGGAAAGTGTGACGGTATTTGGCTTCTTTAGAAAATCAGAGATGGAAGAATGTTGGATATTTACAAACCTAATGTTGTTTCCTGATGATTTAATGAGCTGGACGATTTCTTTATGGCGAAATCCGTCAACTGAAGTGTCGTTCACGCTGGCAATCGTGTCACCTATAAAAAAATTAATTAAATCACAGAGAAAAGTGTTAAACTGAGAACACGTTTGGTTGGAAAATAAATAAAATAAAACCTAAAAAAGTTGTTAGTTCTCTGGATCTGCTTTTTATAGCCACATGTCTGTCGTAAAATGTTAAATTATGTTTACTTTGATAATATAAGTGTTTTACATAACTACTGAATAATACATATTTAAAACACTTCAGACAAGAATATTATCATTTTAGACCATTTATTTACTGAAAATGACATTAAGTCAATATAAAATATTCCATACGTGTAAACCTTTTAATATTAATTTAATTAAATTAATTTATTTATTACACACATTTTATTTACTCAATAGTTAAAATATCAAAACTATTTTTATTTCATTTTATTTATTTATTTATTTACACACATTTTATTTACTCAATATTTAAAACACACACACACACACACACACACACACACACACATATATATATATATATAAATATTTTAAACATACATTTGATTTACTTAATATTACATATCTCACTATTTTTAATAGATTTGATTATTTACACATACATGTTATTTACTCAATATTTAAAATATATATATATTTTTTATTAATTGTAATAATTTTCCATACATTTACTCAATATTTAAATAAAATAATAATAATAATAATAATAATAATAAATAGTTTTCATATTTTAAAATGAGCAAATAAAATGTGTTTAAATAAATATTTTTTTATTTAAACAAACATTTTATATACTGATAATTTAACATATGAAAGCTGATTTTTTACAATTCTTATATTGATGATATATAATTTTCTGCCAAATGCACTAAATGTTAATATTTCTATGTAAAATCTTGAAGACACGTTGTCATTAATGTTTATATAAACCAAAAGCTAACAAACTTTAAGTGGCCTTTTAATTTTTTCATCCTCTATTGCCATATTTTCCAGAATATAGGTCCATCTTTTAGCACGCAAAACATGCTGCCATTATAAATCTAATTAACTTGACGCCAGCAAAAACACGTCTGTGCATTTTTTTCCCCCTTCTGGCGTGACTTCGAGCTGAAAACACTTTGTTCATTGCAACTTTTTTCTTCATTACATCAAATGATTGTTTCCCTGAAGGGTTTTTGGGACGCATCTGTTGAGGGCCTGAACGGCACACATCAATCTGTAATAAAACAATTCCTTTTCTCCTCTGAGAGTTTTGGGTTGTCTGGTGATGAGGTCATGTTCTTTTGAGCGACAGGCCAGGCAGGACAATGGCGCAAAGCATGCAGGGAATGCAGGAAGCGAAACCAACACACGCACGGCAACACCGGGTAGGAGTTCCTCTTCACTGCTGAACTGACATCAGTTTATCTGACATGCAGAACTGTCAAATCGTGGACACAGAAAAGTTCAACTGATCTCAGGACAGAGTAAGCAAGTTTTCATATGAAGAACTCCTTGTTCTCTTCAGATAATAGAAAGGAATGCAGAATCTGCATTTTAAATTTCCTTAAAGCGCTAACAAATCATTAAAGCCTGAATATGGCTTTCCAGGATAATGACACAGATGTATTTTTGAGACATTTCTTGATCTTCTTCTCAACTGGTTTTGCATAAAGTTGCCATTAAGCTTCTATAAAGATTAATACACAAGTTCCAGGTTAACATCTGGCAACCGTTGTAGGGGTTTTCTGTACATAGCAGTAAATAATAATAGATATTACAAGGAGTTTAATAAAAAAATAGCTAAATTGTATAATGTATAATTTGTTTCATAGAACAAAACAGGCATTGAGTAATTTTGATAACAGGCCTCAGTTTGCTTGTACATTTACTCTACTTTTTCAAAAAAAAATGTTAACAAGTTTTGATTTTGAAAGAAATCATTAATTAAATTGATCAAAATTGAATAAAACTATTAAAATGTTACAATTAATCTGTATTTTTAAAAACTGTCCTTTTGAACTTCCCATTCATACAAGATTCTTGAAAATATTCCACAAAACTATTAAACAGCAGTGCTTTTAATCCTGATATAACAACAAATTATTTCTAAAAAATCATTTATCACTGAAAACAGGCTTATCAGGACAGCCCTTTTTAATTTATGACATGTAAAATATTAATGTCAAAACAGGAAGAGCAAAAACAAAAAGGAAATGACATGATGCTCAGAATAAAACCTCAGATTAATGAAAGGACTGTGCAGAAGCAAGCATCCCACACATGCACACAAATAAAATAATCTGACTTTACTCTATATGGTTGTACTTCTACCCACCCCAATTCTTTTCTGTAGCAGTAATTCATAAAAATAGATATTACTAGTTCAAACAAAATAGCAAAAATGTCATTCAGAATAAACAAAAATGAACAGCAATATTTAATTTAAGACTTATGTCAAGTACAGGAAGTTTGAAAACACAAATAAATGTTCAGAAATAAACCATGTGGCGGCGTCCAAAACCATCTACTACTCAGTAGGTACTACATTTGAATGTAAATGTACTACTCAGCTGTGTACGTTCTATACAGTATGAGTAGTGTGAATGGAACTCGGACGTACTACAACTGCCAATTAGTCATAATCACGTGACCTACGTCGATTCACTTCCATTTTATGAATTCTCTCGCGGGGCATCATGGGATAGTGTAGCGCGTATTTGATGCACACTTCAGAATCTCGCCAGAGGTAATAGGTAATTAAGGTACTTTTTGGATACTGTTTTTCGAATACTATGAATTCGGACATACTACTCAGCTTGCATACTGTTTTTAGCATACTACCTAGTACTACATTTGAACTGAAATGTACTACTCTGCTGTTAGAAAAGTACGTTCTATACAGTATGAGTAATATGAATTGAACTCGGATGTACTACATCCGCAATTTTGTCATGATCATGTGACCTACGTCGCTTCACTTTCATTCATGAATTCTCTCGTGGGGCATCATGGGATAGCGCAGCATGCATCCAATGCGCACTTCAGAATCTCACCGGATGTAGTACTGTAGGTCATTCGGTTACTTCTCGCATACTGTTTTTCAACTACTATAAACTCTGACATACTACTCAGTTAGCACACTGTTTTTAGCATACTCACTAGTAGGTACTACATCTGAATGTAAATGTACTACTCGGCTTTTAAAAAAGTACGTTCTATAAAGAATGAATGTCAGAAGTATAAATGGAACTGGGATGTACTACATCCACCATTTTGTCATGATCACGTGACCTACGTTGCTTCGCGTGATTTTTTTTCCCAAACCTGTTCAGCGCAAACCACGCCCCTACGCTAAAACCCCACCCCGCAGCTGAGACACGCGCGATTTCATTGGGCAACGTTGTTACTTGTCGTCTGAGAAAGAAGTTCAGAGTGCACATCAATCAAGTTCGTCTCTAATGGATCTATCGTTGACAAAGGGTAAACACTTCTTGCTTAATAATGTTTAATATTAATAATTTATTCATGGAGATGTGAGTTGTATGTTTTTTTATAGTGTTCATTTTATTTATTTTATCTTTATTTTATCATTTTCGATCGCCCTCAGGAGAGTAAGTTACGATTGTAGTCCCAAAGACCAAGCTGCGGATCTAAAGGTAAAAAATACATAGTTTTTTTTTTTATTTAACACACAAATTACAAATTTAGTACACACAGTCTTTCAAAAATTTGGGATCAGCAAGGATTGTAATTTTGTTTATAGAAGGATGCTTCAATTAATCCAAAATACAGAATTAAATAAATGCTGAAGTTAAAATAATGTGTTTCTTATTGACTGAAAACTAATTTAATTAAACTGTTTCCAACAATGATAATAAATTAGCATTTATAATGATTTCTGAACTATGGTGTGACACTTAAGACTAGAGTGATAATGTTGATAATTCAGCTTTCACATCGCATGAATAAATGATCGATTTACATCAAAATATAAATATTACTTTAAATTTCATTAACATTTCACAATAATGCAACTTTCTGTATTTTTATTAAAGTGAATGCAGCCTTGATGAGCAAAAAAAGCTAATATTGATCTCAAACGTTTGAACAACATTAAAAGATTTATAAATAATATAAATTATTATTATTACTTTTATTGTAATAAACTTGGCTTACTGTAAAATTTTGGGATTTCTCAGTTAAAATGTTTATGGGTGAACACTCTTTCAGGTAAATTATTTCTACTTTTACAGAACTGGTTGCCTCGAGAATAAATACCACTTCTGCACCTATCGCTTAGGCCGTACAAACAGTAAATCACATTTGGGCCACACATGTTTTGAAGCAATTCTAAAAAATGCATTGAGGGATTTGGGAAGTAAAGGAATGGGTGAAAAAACTTAGTAAGTCTTGAGTTAGTTGGAGAGTGGCAGTGACAAAACCTAAAAAGGGACAATGTCAAATCAGTTCATTCTTTGTTACACTATATAAATGTAACACACTGAAAATAACTTTACAGTAAATATTGTAAACATACATAGTTCTACTGTTCAAAACATTTTAGATTCTTCACACAAATTGAGATGTTTATTAATATATTTTGATTTAGTGTGCCAGTTAGAAATCTCAGTTAACATTGAATTGGTTAATGGTTTGTAATTGTCCAGTGAGATTTTTACCCTTGTGATGGCTCCAGTATTTGTATAAACTTAGGACAGGTCATATGGATAGATGACTGGATAGACAGATTTTCATATGCACAGCCACAGTGATTCTGAAATCATATAGTCTCAGCCTCAGACATCATGCCAAGCAACTTCTGATGCATATGGCACACTTTTCTGGAAACCTTTTTAAAGATCCTCAGTTGTCCTCTGATTAGTTTAAATATACATGATTTCTGTGAGTTGACAGACCACCTAGAAACAAGTCTGTGCAGATAAAATAGCTGCAATGGTTATATTGATGACAGTCCTTATTAATAAACATATAACTTTCTGAGACATTTAGTGATTTACTGCCTGCATGTCTGTGATGATGGGCATTTATTCATTTGATTTAAATGCTAAATAATTAAAAGTATCCAATATTCACTGCATAAAAGCTTTAACTCACGATATTGACAAACTTGCTGGTATGCTTGTATATGTGTGTGTGTGTGTGTGTGTGTGTGTGTGTGTGTGTGTGTGTGTGTGTGTGTGTGTGTGTGTGTGTGTGTGTGTGTGTGTGTGTGTGTGTGTGTGTGTGTGTATATGTATTTTTTTCTAATGGCAGTGTAAATCTTCAAATATTCTGTCATTTTGGTCATTAAGATAAGAGAATGACCATTCAAAGCAGCAACTGTTTTTTTTATTTGTGGATACTCACAAAAACAACAAAACCTTGCTTTTATAGAACAAAGTAAACTTTCACTCACTTATCTCATCTGAGGTGATCTTTAGGTAAAAATGCTTCATTAAAATAATGAATGAATCTGAGAACAAATGCTACATACATGTCCTACAGATTTCCTGTATGTTTTGTTGACAGATCATTTAGAATATTGCTGCATCATTGTTGTAAACGTTTGAAATTTCTAAATGTAAAATAAAAATATCTAACATTTCTGCACACTTAAACATTTAAACATTTATATTTTTTTCTGTGGGCTCACTAAAGGTGCCAGCACAATGTTCATGTTCGATCAGGCATGGCTTGTCAACAACGGCTGTCCAAAAATATGCTGTGGGGCAAAAAGGGTTTGCACTTTGGTAAAGACTGTAGACAAAAGGGGAGGATCAAGTAGGTGAGTTAGAAATGTCAAAATTGTACTAATATTTTTTTTTAAGTTTCTTTGTGTAATTTATTTTTATTTTTCAGGAACAATGATCCCCATATTCCCACTTACTCAACCTCTGTGCGCTTGTACAATGTGCATTGAGGCACAAGGTTGTAGGGGTCACTGTAGTTGCCACCACTGCAAGAGTTAACGCTGTTGAGATGCCACCATGTCAGAGCCTGAGCTGCCAGTTGCCACCAGAGCTATTGCTGCCACATGCACCAGAGTTACTGTCAACAGAAAAGCTCACAAAGCCTCAACCACATTCAGACCCATTCCAGCAAAACTGCCAGAGCCCGTGGTGCTAGAGCTGGCAGATCTGCTGCTGCCATAGCCAACGCTTCCAGAGCCACTGATGCCACCAACTAAGCTCCAGGATTGGCCACCTCTGCAAAAGCCAACTAGCCTATCAGAGCCACTCTACCTATTTCTAAAGTGAGGACAATTTATGCTTTATAAATGCCTAATAAATGACAATTAAAGGCTCAGTGTCAAATGAACAGTACATCTTTGTAATCCTATCTAAAAAATAAAATTACTGTAAAGTTTAAACATTGCAGAATAACAGGAGTGTCAAAATACGACATAAAATTGGATAAAAAAACAACAACAATATAATAATTTAACAATATATTATGATACAACATTATAATGTTATTTAGCGAAGTTTAAACTGTACGGTAACTTTATTTTAGTTAAGATTGCAAAAATGTATTTTTCATTTGATACAGATTCATTTATGTATCTTTAAATGATAAGAAATAAATCAAGTCGTGTTTTTTCCCCTGTTTAGAAGATAACTGAGCCTTTAATAGTTATTTATAAGGGATTTATAAAGCATAAATAGTCCTCACTTTAGATTAGGTCACAAAACTGGATGAAGTTAAAATACTAAAGCATTTATTAACATACAAATTAATTATTAGTATATGCCTGAATAATAAGATATATAAATGTTAATTTGAATGGTTTATTATTTACTTATGCGTTCTAAATGATCTTTAAAAGCCACAAAGTACTCTCAAATAATTGGTTTGTAAATGATACAATACTTAAGTATTGAAAAAATTATTATTAACAAAGTATGAAAATACAATCATTAAGCACATTATAGATGTGCTTATAAATCAAGAATAGAGCATTTGTATCTGTAGTTACAAACTGCTTACTAACTTCTGTTAATGTAGAGTTAATGCTTAACAAATTATGAATTAAATTTGCTAATGCTTAATACATTATTAGCGTGTAGTTATTATAAAGTGTTACCAAAATGGGTATTGTTTATTTATTTTTTATGGGAGGGCTCTAACAATGAATATTATTGCTGTCCAACTGATTATTCTCATTTTCTGGTCATTAAAGGTAAAACAATAGGTACTGTGAGAGGAATCATATGATCAATTTTAACTTGTTTTCAGCATTAAATGAAAGCCTTATTTGAAAGGCCTGCAGAACATATGTTGGTCTCATTTGCAGTTATTAAACATTCAAACTCTGTATAGAAACAGGTATAGTTCAATGTACTTGTGCTTCAGTTGATTTTCATCTGATATGCAGATTATGTGCAGTGTTGGGTAAGTTACTCTGAAAACGTAATTCATTATTGATTATTACTAGTTATAATTTAAAAATAAATACAATTGTATTTTAAATTACTTTTTTATTCAATTTAATTTAAACTTAATTACTCAGTAAATCATTTATTACTCAATATTATAAAAGAAATATCCACAAATCCCAAAGCATAGACAATATAAATAAATAATTTAATTCTTTAAATTTGAGTCTAACAGAACCTTTTAGTTTCATTAAACATTATATATTTCAAATATTTTCAAATTTGATATCACAAATGTAACATTCTTTAATAAAAAAAAATCGGTTATTTTGCAAAATATCTGAATTTTGACAACAAATTATACACATTCCTATCCCACTTCTCTGAATTAATACAAGATATTGTAAGAATAAATCTTTCAATTTAACTATTTTATACTAGACAGCGAAAGATAAAGAGGTTATGTTTGCATGCAGGGGCTGTGTTAAATTAATAATATTTAAAAATGTTTTTTAAATAAATATTATGTTTGTGTGTTTTTTGCTGGTTTTTGTACTTGAGTAAAGTTTTCTCATTGTTAAGATGCTGTTGTGTGTGTGTTTACTTCATGTATTTTTGGCACTATATTTTTTATATATTCATTAAACACAGCTTTTTATATAAGCTGTAGTTTGTTTGTACTACGTTTTATTTCATACACGCACTTTGTTAACCTTTCGTATTTTAGGTCTTTTATTAAAAAATAGTTTGTGTTCGCTGGCATTGTGATAAAGCTGGAGCTGCTGGACCAATGAAATCGAGCCACGGACGTGAGTCACAGCAGTGGGGTGGGGTTTTCGCGTAGGGGGCGTGGTTTGCGCTGAACTGGTTTGGGAAAAAAAATCACGCCGTTGCTTCACTCCCATTCGTGAAATCTCTTGCGGGGCATCATGGGATGGTGCAGCTTGCATCAGATGTGCACTTCGGGATCTCGCCAGAGGTAATAGGTCATTTAGGTACTTTTCCCATACTGTTTTTCGATTACTATGAATTCGGACGTACTACTCAGCGTGCATACAGTTTTTAGCATACTACTTATTAGGTACTACATTTGAATTTAAATGTACTACTCGTGCTATACAGACATTCATCAGTAGTAAGATGTACTACATCCGCCATTTTGTCATGATCACGTTTTTTTGAATACCATGAATTACCATACTACTCAGCTCGCATATTATTTTTAGCTTTCTATATAGTATGGAAGTATTCAATTTCAGATGCAGTGTCAGTTTGACAATAGACTGACTTGACGATCTCCGATTGTATAGTTTGAAACTCCACATACAGTTTATGCAGTAAACAATCCAGAGTTCTACACAAGTGATTTGTGCTGGGACAACATGAAGGAATTAAGTAAACCTGTTAGTTTAAACAAATTTAGGCTGATTGAACAAAAAATAAATAAAATCAGTTATCCCACCAAAAAACTCTCTTTTAGTCTTTTTAGCTAACTTTAAATAAGTAGTTTAAACAAACGTTATTAAAGGCTACATGAGCGCTGTGCTGTTATATTTGCTCTTGCTTAAACAGTAGATCCGCCACTCAACCGTCCTATTGTTGACAGACTGACGAGCTCTTACAGTGAGAAAACACTTACAATCCCTCTGACAAAAAAATTACTCCAATTCAACACGCTCTCATTTTACTACATAACAGGATGTTGGGAGAGCTAGATGAGGGAAAGTGATCCTTGTTATTGCTTTGAATTGCACTCCCTGTGACCTTAAGGAGCTCCCTGAATATTCAAGCCCATGTGTCAAATGGCAGTTTAAAGCAGAACTCAATGAGCAAACACAAAGGGCGCCATTAGTGTGAGCACACTTACCAACTTTAAGGCCTGCGAGTAGAGCGGGACTGTCTTCGTGGACTTTGCAAACAAAGGTGCACATCTCCACGGAGTTCTCACTTTGGTGATGAAGCCCGTATGTCTGTTGACACACAATAATAAAAAAAAAAGAAAGTTCATGTTAGGGTGTCTCATGTTGGGGAGTAATACAGATATGCATTCAGAAAGTACACAGTTTCAAAGATGATTCCTTGGATTTACTTTTTTAAGATAAGTGGTTGTAAACAACTTATTTGGGCTGAATTTAAACAAACAAATTAAAGTTGAACATTACTAAATATGATTAGTTTGTTTAAAATTCAACCCAGATAAATTGGAAAAAAAGATTTCTGCAAAATCAATCAATCAAAATGAAATCACAATTGCTATGTTACAAAATGTCATGCACATCTTGTAAAGGAAGTGCGGTTGTGTGATCAGCAGAGATCAAATCTCTTCCAAAAGGTCAGAGGGCGCTCTTGTGTGAAAACTCAAAACACTCATGAAATCCCTATAACAGTTAGTGATAAGACGTTCAGATCATTTTACTGACTCGAACCTTTGAGTCTCGTTAATGGAGTCATTTTGTTCAATTCGTTCAATTTGCCAAAATAACATTAAAATGTTAAGAGATACTTTTAAACACATCTACAACTAGCCCAAACGTAGATCGCACCACAAACAAGTCAAGACTAGAATGCTACAAAGAAAGAGAAACTAACCCTTCATCGTTTACCCGGTGTATTATCTACGATTAGCTCCACTCACCTCTTCTAGCATGTCTTCAAATCTGAGTCGTTCGTTCACCTGACACCTATCAAATCTTTTTCTGGATCTAAATGCATATGATTGTCTTCTGTCTTCATGTGATGAACGAATGACTCAAACCCGATAGAGGACTTGAAAAATGAACTAATCTTCTACTCTACCTGCACAAATGTGCGAATAAACGAATCATTCACGAGAGGACTCATCATTCTCGAGTCACATAAATGATTCACAATAGCATTTGTAAAATAAACTGAAGATTTAAAGCTACTGTATGTAGGTTTTTGACTCTAAAGCATAAAAACTTGCGTAATATGTTAGAGGTTATTGAGGAAATGTGCAAAAGTTCAAATACTAGTTTATACGATAAACAAGTTTATTTAATCCCCTTTGAAAATATTGGAATGCCTCTCTTTGTTTTGGTTTGTGAAAGTCCACAAAATACATTTACTGCAATCGGGGTTGTCTTGGCGGAAAACACAGCACATTTAATTTCAGTTCTGGTGGCTGCCTCAATGTATTTGGGCAACTGAAAATGTAACCTCCGAAAGACCGTAGATGCCTCCATAATGAGACAACATATAACAGTACAAATATTACAAACGTAAACATTAGCTGATCAGCTCAGTTTAATCGCCAGACATACTTGTTCCATTAATCTGACAACCTGTGTGTGCGTCAGGTCATCGGAGGTTAAATGAAAACAGAAAACCTATCTAATATTTTGAACTTGGACTGCAATACATGGCTCAACCACTAGGACAATCTTGTACTGCAGGTTCAATTGCTTTTATTGATTCAATCCGAATAATAAATTACACGACTACAGAATCCTCACATAGAAGAATTTATATAACACTTGACTGAAGGTTTGAAGCGAGTTAAACATTATGTAAAAACGTTATATTTGTTATTTTGACATACTTTTAGATGTACAACTGTCATTATACATGCAATATGATTATGAATGCAATTTCGTGTAGCATTTTGACAAAATGCGCACAGAATCGCCTTCAATTAACCAGCAAGTCAACATAATAAAATGACGTTTAATAAAGTATATTTCAAACTAAATATGTATCAAACCTACACCGAGTTCTGACTTTGGTGTTAATGCCGGTATGTCCATAAACACATATAAAAGAAAAAGGTGTGTAGTAGTATAGTAGTAACAAAGGTGTCTTGTGAAGAGAGTAATGCTATTTATAGATATGCATTCATAAAATAATCCCAAATCAACATACTAAAATGATTTCAGAAGGAAGACTGAAAACTGGAGTAATGTTTCGGCTTTGAGTCATATGAAAATAAAAAATTTATCAAAAAAAGAAGATGCTAAAAATAAAGCCAAACAAAGAAGACTCATGCTGAGAGTAATGTTTTTTTCTCTTCAAAATACACATTCAGAATGTAAACAAAATGAGTCACACACTTGCTAGCAAAGGTGTGGCTTTTCTTTTTTCTTATTGTTCGACATAGCATTGCTAAACCCGGTTTGAAAGCGTTTATACAGAGGCTTAACACCATAATAAGCTCAATGTGTTGCATGTTGACCTGCAGGGCTTCACAAAGACTGATTAACTCAATGACAGACTCAATGGCTGAAAGGAAGCTGAACGTGAGCGGCGGCTCCAGGTGGTTTACGCACATGCAAACATCTATGATAAACAAGCCACACCGAAACTGGGCCACCTGAAAAGCATGGCTTTTTGTTGTCGTTTCGATGTTTGAACTGTATTTGGAGTTCATCAGCCTTTTCCCTTTCAATCACTCAGTATGAGTCATTTTGATGTTAAAATATTTGTTAAACTAATTTAAATGAAAACAACGGTAAAAGCAGCATAATTTCTGTATTAGGAACTCATTGAAAAAAAAAAATCTAAAACAGTATATACATATTTTTCCTCAAAATGTTGTAACCATCATCTAAAACAAGAATAATTTAACGAATATATATATATATATA